CTAAAGTATATTTTATTGACTAATGAAATTAGAATATTGTGCATTTTGCTCACGAGAAAAAAAGACTGCTCCCATTATTAACTAACACCATTTAAGTGTTTATGCCTGCTAGAATAAATTGCGACCATAAATTCCAAGGTGATGGGGTATTGCCTTAAGAATATGCTTTTTCCAAAAAAAAAAACTAAAAAAACTCTTAAATATTCAAGAGCTATATGTTTTTGCCCATGATTACTTCTGAAATTGAGTAAGCAATTATAAAACTGGACAAATTTTAAATTAAATAGATTGACTGAGATTACTAAAGATTTTTACGGGGCTTCCTATATTAAATTAGCTAAATATGATCAATCGTCATAGTTTTTGAAAACTTACACTTTTTTAAAATTTTATTTTATAACTTAACACATTATAAGTATTTTTTGAAAGTTTGTACTCACCGAGACGGGATACACGCGCAACGCGCGTACCCTAAGACTAGTTATACTAAAAGTGGGAAGACCCAAAGTTAAAAGTTGATTTACAAATATACCCCTAAAAACTAAGTGACAATATTGCCCATGAGTAAGAAGCTGCCTTCTAATAAATTAAAATAAATGAAAAAAATCAGTTGCATTGTTTCACATTCTAACTTTTCTCCGTTTGGTCCTATGAGCTTCTACCGGTTATAGTATTAACATTTATGCATAGTCTTTACTCATACTTTATTACACTATAAAAGCAGACACCAAAATGTCAAATTACTTCATCATTTTTTTCATTTTCTCTTCTTTGTTAGTAGCTCCCTTTTCCCAGAAGAACATTCTCTTTCTGTTTTTCTTTTCTAATTTTGCTCAACTTCAATTACAACGCCCAAGTAAAGAAATCTCAGTGAACTTATGGTGGGCTGCTTTATTGCTCTCCAATTAGTTTTTTTCCACTTATTAACCAATTATTATTGTTATCTTCACTATATATGTGATCAAAGGAAGTCTCATAGTGCCTGTGTTTAAAGGAAACTCAGCATATATATCTGTAGACTATAATTTATATGCCTGCGATCTTATATCTGATCCAATATTCTTGATTATCATATTTTATTTTGATTGTTTTGTTTCTTTTTTTCTTTTCTCCTTAAGATATAAATTTACGCGTTGCTTTCCGGACTAATTATGAAAACGACTTGTTCCATTACTAGAGCTATTTTTTTCCTTTTCTCCGCAATAAACATTCAAAGACTGGGGGTTATTTTGTCTAACACTTTTGCTTGGGATAATCATTTCCTTTTAATAATCAATGTAGCTTAGGATTTATCTTTGTTTATAGAGTCAAATAAGTATAAGTATTTTAATTCAATGAGATGAAACCTGGAGAATATCTTTAGACAAGAAGAAACAAAAGATGAAAGGTTTGTTTTATAAGAAATTCTAGCAATCAACTGCATATATTAATATTTTACGTGATGCGATAACTTTTAAAAAAATGGACAGAAAGAGTACTTTCATTCGATAACTTTCTTGATATGTATGCGGCTGTCAAAATGAGGCTACAACTTCTAAAAAGCAAGGCACAAACTTTAAGACGTGAAGTACTTGCAACGTTGTTTATATTCATATTAAAACTATGTATTGATGAAATATCAAAATTTGAGAAAATTATCGAGCTAAATATGTGGTATATTAGAAGAACTGCATAAGAAAAAGTTATACCATTTTAGTTTAGTGTCTACAACTACAAAATATAATAGTGACATCGAGTCATTCAAAATAAATAGGTTGACTATATATTCATCAAGTTAAGCTTGTACTTTCTCCTTTCAAATTTTCAGTTACTAATTATGCACAAGTTTTAATATTATTTATATCGTTTTAAAATTTTTGTACCAACTGATATGGACCACACGTGCAACGCACGTGTCCCGAGACTAGTTTATTAAATATGACTGTCCGATAAACATGAATTACTAGTTACTACTAATGTTTTCTCTACGTACGACTACTAGCAGCAAAGCAATTATGAATATGACTGCAACCACCAAAGGATGTAGTGAGTGGATGAGACTGCTCTTCCCTTAACCAGAGGTCTCGGATTTGAGCCTTAGGTATAGAAAAATCCTTGGTAGAAAGCGCTTACCCCCGAATGAGGCCCTACTATACGAATCCTTATATAGTCGGACTCCAATATGGGTACTGAACATCAGGTGGAAAACCAAAAACAAAGAATATGCTTATTTGTAGAGATTAGAATAGAGAACGTAGGGCTAGAAACGATCGAATAGAAAATGTAATTAATCCAGTAAACTTGAACAAATTAATTGAAATTAGAATTCAACCAATGGGGAAGAGAATGAACTCGATCATACAAGGATAAATTTTAACATAAAGAGCTATGTTCATTCAGTATCCAAAAACTAAGGAAATGAAAGAACTAGTTATACTAATTAGGATTTTGTTTAACCCAAAATTAGATTTGTAGGTCAAAGCTATTAAATTAATATAGATAATAATAATAATAATAATAATAATAATAATAATAATAATAATAATAATAATAATAATAATAATAATAATAATAATAATGTAAAAGGAAAGAAAATAATTAGGATGTCTTTAGAAATTGTAATCCTGAAGTAGACCTTAGAATAAGATTAGGTCGACTTTGCAATTCTGTTGGTGTTTTACCAAAAAAGTGCTTAACCTTTTCTTAAAACGAATTAATGAGAAAATAGAGGGTGAATCCTAGTTAAATATAATAACCACTAGATCTAACGTTTAGATGTATTGATGATGTAGGGTCGAATCCGAAAGTGTTATATACCAACTACCAATGCTCATTGATTGTCAATGGATATAGTAATAAAAGCATGCAATAAATGTAGATAATAGCAATAAATGTAATAAGAAGGAATTCATCACCCAAATGTTAAATGACTTGGATGATTCTCCTCCCTCACAACAACGTGGAATAATAGAAAGTGAAGATTGACAAGGAATCTTTGGATCTTGTAAATAAAAGAGTAAATCGAACAATGTAATCAATGGACAAGACAAGCTTTTATGTATTCTTTGTAGTCAACCCTTTACAACGTGCTCTTATCAGAAAAGTGAAAATCCTCTTTTTGTTCTTTATCTCTTCCTATTTATAAGGGAGTTTCCTAAGAAACCCTAAAAAGTACAACTAAAGAAATATTCAATGAAATATTCCTTTTTTCTCTTCTAACATATCCTACCGTCACTTTCATACACCCTTTACTTGACCTCGGCACTAATCTTTCTTGAGACGACTCCTTGCCATTATGCCATGGTCGACTTAATCCTCGACCACGTCCATTTGCAGTCATTGAGTTTAATCCAAATTTTGACCAATATAGTTTGGCGCTTCTTCTTGCCTTGAACCTTGACTTTCTTTCTTCAAAATTTTCCTTAATTCCATGCTCCTTTTAAAGCAATCAAAGCTCTCAATGGTAGGAAGAACATTTGTGATTTCCATCAATGGCTTCCTTTCACTTCTATAGAAATACGATTGTAATATTAATTTTGTAAATTCTGAAATCTATGCAACTACTAATGAGAGTTTAGGATTAATGTTCGTCAAACGGGTAAAGTAGTTTTACACAGAGCTTTTCATATCCACCTTTTATAAGTTGAGATATGTAAGCATTTTTTTGGGATAATGCATAAAATCCATCCCATCTTATGACCCATTTACCAACTACACGTCTTTTCTTTTCGGGGGTCCTATTACCCCCGTGAACTTATTTTTACCATAATTTGTTTAACATTATATGCTCAATTAAACCCGACCGTGACTACACTTCTTCCAAGCGCGTGAGGCCTAATTTTAAAAGGTCCGTCTGCTATTCAATCACCACGTGTAATGCCAAATAAACCATAAGAAAGAGTCCCAAACGTTAAACTCAGCTATTTTAATTGAACCAGTTATTGTATCTGTCTTTCTAAACTTAAAGGCTATCTACCATTGTTGAAGAAATTTTGTTGTTGCTGCTGCTGAAATTGAGGTGAGTTTCAATCAATAGAGTATAAATTATTAATCTTTAGTCAATTCGATTTGATAATCTTTATGTTAGGGTTTGAAATTTCTTCCCCGATTTTTATATTTTAGGAATTAGGGTTATGAAATGGTAAATACCAATTTGAATAGACTTTGTATGGACGATGAAGACCCAATGCTCAATGTTCAAGTGCGATGCAAATATGAAATTTTATTGCAAATGCAGACTTCTTGATCGAAGCGTAATCCTGGCCGAAGATTTTGGTCTTGCCCCTATTATGGTGTATGTGTTCATTTCTAACCTGTCTATTGTGGTTGATTATCTTTATGTGTTGTCATTAAATTGATTCCAATTTATAAAATTTTCAGGCCAAGAGTTGCAAATTTTTCAGTGGAGGGACAATGAAGTTGTCGAAAGATCGAAGTTTATTCTTCCAAGATTGTTCGACAAAATTAAAGAGATGGAAGAAGATTTGGCACATTGTGAAAGCCTCAAGATGCAGTTGGTTGAGCTTGAAAGTTTGAAAAATGCCAACATTAATTTGGTTGTGACTGATGATGAAAAAGATAAGGGGGAAAAAGAGAAAAAGAAAAGGACCTGGTGTTGGCTTAATAGGAAGTTCATTTTGTGTATTGTGTTTTGTCTTTGTTGTTATGTGTTGATTACTGCCTAATTCAAGTAGGCAACTTGGAAAGTGATCAAATGAAGTTGTAATAGTAGATTTATTGAAGTTGTAGTTGTTTTGTGAGTTAGCAATTATCTAGAAGTGCTTGGTTATGGTTGTAACAACTCTCTTTTGTTGTCATTGTGGTATGTAACTTCATTTTAGTATATGCTATGTAGAAGTTAATTATGTATCTACTGCACTTGCCATGATCGATTCCTTCAACTTCTATATATAAGTCACACTGAGGTTTTATGTAAATGGCAAGACACCACTGATTTTCATAGAAATATAGCTGCCACATTTCATAAATACCACCAAAATCAGTCGACAAAACATCAAATGTACTAAGGCAACATTTAAAAACTAATAGGATAAAAACTACAGATTGCAGTCAACAAAAACAACCAACTGTCTAGCTTAGGATATACATTGTCTACTTGTAGTCAACCAAAAACATCAAATAATTGTAGGTGAAGTAGATTTCAGTCAACAAAAACAACCAAATCTATTGGGGATGTGCAGAACTACTATTCTGGCTTAGGTTGTTTGATCCACCAATCCTTGTTTGAATTCTATGTTGCCCTCTAATCTCTTGAAGCCTTCTTGTTGTGATTGTTGGTTTCCCCTTCCATTTCAGTCCACTACTTGGTTTGAAACCAATGTCACCAGTTACATCAGCTGATTTTGTTATCATTGATGGTCCAGTGAACTCTATTCCGGTACTTGGCGTGACTACTATTCTACTACTTGGCATGCCAGGCTACAAAGAAAGAATAACTAAATAAGTTATCACAAATATACAAAACATATTGAATACCACAAAGAATATACACTTACATTCAAAGTTTTGAAGCCATTTTCAGCTTGAAACACACCCATTCCCATCACTCTTAGCCTTTAAAATTGTTTTGTATTTTCCACACCCTTTCCCCTTCCCCTATTTAGTGTAGCTGTCACACCTCCTTTTTACATCCGAGGGTATATGGGAATTCTTTCCAATTAAAGTGACATTAATCAAAATGGGATTAATTAATTTATCAGAGTTGCCACTTGGAATAGTTTGTTTGGTGTCCCAAGTCACCGGTTTATTTTAGAATCCCAAATCAAGGAAATTTCGACTTTGCTTTATAAGTCTGCAAACCAAAAATTCTAGATAAGGAATTTTGTTAACCCGGGAGAATGTGATAGGCATTCTCGATTTTTGTGGTTCTAGCACGGTCGCTTAAACTATTAATAATTGGCACATTATCTGATTTACTACACGTTTTAAAATTATTGTGCATTTTTAACTTTATAACCGCTTTTAATTATTTTATGGAATTATTCCGGAACAAGTTACGATTGACGTACACCTGTTTGTTTGATACACATTGTGAATCATGTCACGGGAACCATACCCACGATCTACAACATGTTTAATTTATTAAAGTTATCAGAAGTTGTGGCCGGGTCACATAAATGTACCCCCGGATTTGAAAATTAGCTATCACAACTACGTTACGGGAACCGTACCCGTAGCTATGATGATTTTATTATAAATCGCACCTAAAGCAACTATGCGTTCAAAGTGTTTTCTACACTAGTTTTGTATTTATGTGAGGGTCATAGATTATAGGATTCATTTGTGGATGGCACGCCTCAATTTATTTTTAAAAGATTTGTATCTCACTAAAGCAAACTAAGGATGCTCCTATTTTAATCTAATTTGAGATTAGGTATCGCAACTACGCCACGGAACAGTACCCATAGTTGTAATGATTTGATTGTGTGCCTAAAGCAAACTACAGTGTTCATAAGCTTAAAATTTTTCTAAAAAAAATTATGGTTATATGAAGGTTTGCAGTAGCGAAACTTATTGGGACTTTTCCTTACCTACAAAGTAATATCTAACTTCTGTACAAAAGCTATAATTACTTGTGCTTTTCATTTAACGAATAAAAGAAGAAATCAATCCATGAATACTTAAGACATTTTCTAACAAATATGTTGAACATCCCAAATCTTAAAGATAGCAACATGGATTCATGAGTTACTAAAAGATAACAATACATTAGTTTGAGACTTTGACCTATATATGTCAGTTTTGGCAAGCCATTTCAACTTAAGGCAACCAAATTCTCATTGCAAAACAACTCGCTTCATACACTGCTGAAACCAAAGATGTCTTTCATTTAGCAATTAGTTTCTATTTTTATAACCGCTAAAATTTAGGACATCCAAAATTATTTAATCCGATTAAAATCCAGAAGGCAACTGGAATAAATCAGTTATTCTACACAAACAAACAAAGCATTTGGTATAAATATTCTACACAAATAAAGCATTTGGTATAAATATGCATTCAGGTACTTCACCACCACAAAACACAACTAGACAAAAGGGGCAATGTTTTTTTTAGTACAAATATTAAGACAAAAGCAGAATAGATTTAGGACCACGAATTTATCACTTTTATGTGTGTAAAACTTAGTAGACAGATGTTGAGTTCATCAACAAAACAACATCATACTCAAATATATTTGAATTATGCTACTGGAACCAAAGATAAACAAAGAGAGGGATTCAAAGCTAAATCAACAATTGAGCCAACTGGTCTTACAGAACTGAGCAGAAGTAACAAAGCAATTTTCATTTCATGATCCGATGTAGAGCAATAGAGAAGATGAACATTCCTAGAAGCAAAATTCAAGAGGTGAAACTTGACGAATCAGTACCCATAGATGAAAAAATGAAGCTCCACCCAACAAACAACAACGAGCTCGAAATCAAACAGTTCCAACAGCTCTCAGCTTCGAAGCAATCTTTACGGCTTCATCAAGCTCTTAAATTCCCACAAAAATGTGGAGAATAAAATAAAAATTCAAGGCTGAAAATCAGCTTCGTCACCTTCGAATTTTAGCGCTAGATTCTATAATTTTCACTTGTTACCAAAGGCTTCAACGTGTGTGTGTTGATGAAATCAGAGAAAAATGGGAGGGAAAGAGTGTGTTCTCTGTATGTGAATGAGCAATGAAGGAGAAGAAGGGAGGAACGACGCTTCTTTTAGAGAGGAGCCTCTGATTTTTTCATCTCTTTAGGTGTAATATGTGAGGGATCAGATCTGATTGTTCTCGAGAGGAGGGGGAGCGTCGTTGTTCCTTCAAAAATGGGGGAGGGTTTGGTTGTGAGTGGTTTTTTAGGTTAGAAAATGAGGAAGAACAGGAAGGATTCCCGTTTTTGTGTCATTCCAGAGTGAGAGCAGAGAGCAGTCCTCCATTTATTTTGGGTAAAGGCGCTGGGTCTAAAAGGGATAAGGGATCTGATTGTTTAGGTCTAGGAGCTAGGTTTTAATTAAAGAGAATGTGGTTTGGGTCAGTTCGGGTCGGCTCAGGCGGGTTTGGGGCTGTTTTGGGGGGAATTTGGGTCTTAATTAATTGGGTCATTGTAGTTATTGGCCCAATTTTAAAAGAAACAAGACCAAAAATATATTATTCTTTTTTTCCTTTCTTTTCTTTAATTAATTAAAATCCTAAATCAATCTATTTTTGTAGAAAAATAAAATTCTTTATCTATTTTTAACATTAAAACAACTAATTAACTAAAAACTAAAGAAAAATACTAATTTTAATGGCTAAAATCTAAATATGTAAAAATGATCATTTTTGTGATTTTTTGCTTAATAAAATTAATTCCTACATGCCAATTGAGCCTAAGATAACATGAAATTAAAACGTGATAATTTTTATGATTTTTCTAAGATTTTAAAATATTAAAATGCATGAAATGCAACTAAATAAAGAAAAACTTCTAGAAAATCAATTAAAATTATTTTTGGTCTATTTTTAGGAGTTGTTTTCATGTAGGGCAAAAATTAGGTGCTCCACAGCTACCCCTCTTAGCTCGAAAACATGAAGAGTTTTCGGTTAAAGATAAAGTGAGCAATTAAGAGCAATTTTTGCCCGTTTGAAACTCCATGTGGAAGCATTTTGAAAAAGTTTGACTGAACCTTGCTTCAGAGGTTGCCTATATATCCTTGGGTATAAAGGAATCAGGTCGGTATAGTTCTGGAAGTTTTGGTAGCTGGGACTACCGGAAAACTGTGATTTCACAACTGTTGTTGCTGTTTCTGCTTGTTGAGATCCTTATTACACCTAAATAAAAGATGAAAAGCTAAACTAGCTAAGCCTATCAACTACGAGTTACAAGATTCCTATCTATAAACCTTCTAAAGCTTGATCTTGAGTCCTTGATGGTTCTTCCTGTAGGCTCAGATCTGAATCTTGATACTTGTTAGTTGCAACCGCTGGTTCATTCTTCTTCAGCTTTTCGGATCAAGGCGGGACATGCAAAACTTGCGACTTCAATCATATCTTGGGCAGTCCGCATCTTTTCTCCGCTTTTATACTTCGAGTTCAAATTCTTTTCTTGTTCATCTTTTCTTTTATTTGGGTTGAGACTTCTTCTTTTGTTCATCTCAAACCTTGTGCCTCACGGTGAAAATCTGTTCAGGCACCAAAGCAAACAAACAAACAAATTTTTCTGCCCCAATTTTCACTAGGAAAATTTCGTGAGTTATTGTAACAAAATCTAAAATATTTCTTTATTGAAAGCAATTAAAATCAGGATTCTGTATCCCTGAGAAAAAGAGATTAAGGAATAGAGACTCTATATCTAAAATGCAATCAAATGGGGATTGGAGGCCCTATGTTGGAAAAGAGACTAGGGCGTGGAGACCCTATGTCTAAAATAAATTCAACTAGGGAGTGGAGACCCTATGTCTAAAATAAATTCAACTAGGGAGTGGAGACCCTATGTTAGAAAAGTGACTAGGGAGTGGAGACCCTATGTCTAAAATAACTACAACTAGGGAGTGGAGACCCTGTGTTGGAAAAGTAGACTAGGGAGTGGAGACCTTATGTCTAAAATAAATTCAACTAGGTAGTGGAGACCCTATATTGGAAAAGCAGACTAGGGAGTGGAGACTCTATGTCTATAGTAAATTCAACTAGGGAATAGAGACCCTATGTTGGAAAAGCAAACTAGGGACTGGAGACTCTATGTCTAAAATAACGTCAACTAGGGAATGGAGACCCTATATTGAAAAAGAGACTAGGGAATGGAGACCCTATGTCTAAAGTAAATTCAACTAGGGAGTGGAGACCTTATGTTGGAAAATAAGACTAAGGAGTGGAGACCCTATGTCTAAAATAACTTCAACTAGGGAGTGGAGACCCTATGTTGGAAAAGCTGACTAGGGAGTAGAGACCCTATGTCTAAAATAACTTCAACTAGGGAGTGGAGACCCCATGTTGGAAAAGAGACTAGGGAATGAAGACCCTATGTCTAAAATAAATTCAACTAGGGAGTGGACACCCTATGTTGGAAAAGCAGACTAGGGAGTGGAGACCCTATGTCTAAAATAAATTCAACTAGGGAGTGGACACCCTATGTTGGAAAAGCAGACTAGGGAGTGGAGACTCTATGTCTAAAATAACTTCAACTAGGGAGTGGACCCTATGTTGGAAAAGCAGACTAGGGAGTGGAGACCCTATGTATAAAATAACTTCAACTAGGGAGTGGACCCTATGTTGGAAAAGCAGACTAGGGAGTGGAGACCCTATGTATAAAATAACTTCAACTAGGTAGTGGAGACCCAATGTTGGAAAAGAAACTAGGGAGTGGAGACCCTATGTCTAAAATAAATTCAACTAGGGAGTGGAGACCCTATGTTGGAAAAACAGACTAGGGAGTGGAGACCATATGCCTAAAATAACTTCAACTAGGGAGTGGAGACCCTATGTTAGAAAAGCAGACTGGGAGTGGAGACCCTATGTCTAAAATAAACTTCAACTAGGGAGTGAAGACCCTATATTGGAAAAGAAACTAGGGAGTGGAGACCTTATGTCTAAAATAAATTCTACTAGGGAGTGGAGACACTATGTTGGAAAAACAGACTAGGGAGTGGAGACCCTATATCTAAAGTAAATTTAACTAGGGAATGGAGACCCTGTGTTGGAAAAGCAGACTAGGGAGTGGAGACCCTATGTCTAAAATAACTTCAACTAGGGAGTGGAGACCCTATGTTGGAAAAAACGTAACTAGAGATTGGGGACCCTAGGCTACCATGTTTTTTAATTTTCTTCTCTCTTTTTTATTGAACAAATGAGTAAGAATGCAGGAAAGAATTTGTAAGAGACTTCCTTTTGGATTGATTATTGTTGCAAAACTGTTTCTAGCCCCTGCGCAGTTTCTTTTGGTTGTACCTGCTTCTTGCAAGGTTGCTTTGGATTGCACCTGTTTCATATTTTCAAACAAATAACAATTGTTAGTTTGAAACAGTGGTTTGTTTGTGGCCTTGATTGTTTCAATCACTTGATCTCGGATCGACTTTTTTGATGAAGATCTCAATTGCAACTGCTCGTTTTCTGGGGACCGATTTCATTTCTGGCCCTGAGAACCTCTGTTTTTTTCCAGATTTTTCCATGACGGTTGGTCGGTGGAACTCAACCTTTTCGACTTTATTTTGCCTTCATAGGCTTTCACTTTTGACCTTTTGTTTTTAACCATTCGGAGCATTGGGGAACTTTTGGCTCCTCAAACTTGCTGCAACGGCTAGTCGCGTGGGACTTAACCTTTTCCAACTTTATTTCGCCTTTATAGGCCTTTCATTTCTGGTTTCTTTCTTCCAACTTCAATTTCAGAGCATTTTGGGTACCTTGACTTTTCAAACCTTTGCCAAGACGGTTAGCCACGTGGGACTTAACCTTTTTCAATTTTATTTTGCCTTTGTGGGTATTTAACTTTGATTTCCTTTCTTTTCAGGAGTTTTTGATTTCAAAGCATCGGCCATCATGGCCAGTCGAAGTTGACTCGATGCACATGTCGAGGCTAGGTATCTTCTTGAATATTGGCTCATATCAAACAAAAGCCTAGTAAATCAATCTTGCCATTCTTTCTTTGCCTCAGTTTTTGAACAGAGTTAGACCGAAAGGGATTCAAAGAAAAACAAACAATGGAAAAGACAATGAATTTAAAACAAGAAGTGTCCTTTTCGGGGGAAAGGAAAGAAGGACTTATCTGGAGTACATGCGGGCTTCAATGAACATGACATGCCTTTTGGACTGGATGCCTTATCTGTGTAAACCGTCCGACTCTCAGAAACTCATCACGACCTTTGCCTCAAAATTGAGAAACCTTGCCAGGACTCTATCAATGTCGATGGCTGTAAGGATTCTCTTTTCGATCAGGGACACCTTTTACGGGTTTTCACGAGCTGACCTCTCTCATTTCTCTTCTCACCATCGCCTTATAGTGCTCTTTGTGAGTTTTCACTATCAGGACTCTCTCTTTTCAATTTCTCTGCTTACTGTCGCCTCACGATGCCCGTATGGGTTTTCACCAATAAGACTCTCTCATTTTATTTCTCTCATTTTATTGTATCAGATCCAAGTAACTCTATCCTCCCATTTTGAACTTTTTTTCCGGTTGATCAGAAGGACTTGAACAGGGTTTTGGGTTAAAAAGGATTTGGATTGAGTTACAACTTTATAACCTTTCGGGCGAAACCATTGCTGAACCATTATAACATCTGCCCCAGTTTCACTTTTTGAGGGACTTTGGATTTTTATTTTGGTGTGACTGAACCCCAGAGAGGTTGCCTACGTATCCTTTCGGAATCAAGTCGAACGTAGTTCAAGAAACTTTATTTTTTGATTTTATTTTTTTCTGTTTTGTTATGTTTTCTCTTTCTTTTTCCTTTCTTTTTTTCTCTCTTTTTCATTCGTTTTTTTTTCTTTTCTTCCTTTCTTTTTTTCTCTCTTTTTCATTCGTTTTTTTTTCTTTTCTTCCTTTCTTTTTTTTGTATCTTTCTTTTTCTTCTCTTTTTTTTTTCACTTTTCATCTCTCTTTTTTTTGATTTTTTTTAATAACACTTTCATGTTCTAAATAGGGTAATCAAAGAAAAGTAACCAGAGAATATTTATGTTATATAGAGGATCTAACGTAGTACCTTTCGGCTGCATTTGCATTAACAGTTGTCTCAGGGACATTTCTTTTGATGTATCCCAGGTACAACACTCTCTTTGGTAGTACCCTTGTTACCATGTATGGATCTTTCCAATCTGGAGCCAATTTTCCTTTAACTGTTCCAACTCTTTGTTTTATTTCCTAAAACTTATCATTGCGATCTAATTCTTGATTCATTACTTCGAGATTTGATAGCTTTTCAGGATCTGGGAATGAAATCTGCAAGCATGTCATGTTATTAAAATCTGCATTTAATAGAACTGAAACGAAAAATAAAAAAATG